CAGCCTGCGCGGGGGGAGAGAAAAAGGGCCCTGAGACCCCCGCTCTCCTGCCCCAGAGGCTGTGGGAGCGTGGCAGGCGATGCCAGGGTGGTGGCCAGGGCAGGTGGGGCTGAGGGAAGCCAGATCCCACCAGTAACACCAGTAAGCACATGGCTGGGGAGCTGGCAGAGCAGAAGCCCAGAGGGAAGTGAGGTGCAATGGGGAAAGAGCTCCAGGGAGACGCCAGGGAGCCAGGCAGCTTCCTTCCTCCTCCCCACTGGGCCTTGCCATGGCACCTCAAGCACCAAACACTGCCCGTAGCAGGGAGCAGAGGGCCAGTGGCAGGAGTACAAGGTGGCCAGAGCAGTCGCTACCGGCCTCGCAGCCCCAGCTGCCCACCAGAGCTGCGCTGCAGGGACAAGGGGGCTGTGGGTGATGCTGGGGCGCACTGAGGGCTGCTCAGCCTCCCCTCAGTACAGGGACCCGGCTCCCAGAGGGACACAAAGCACAGAGGGGTGCAGCCGGGTGGCCTCGTAGGTTTAGGGCATCTCGCCACACTCCTGGATGGTGCTGGCAGGGCAGGACTGGCAGCAGGTAAAGCCCCCACCACGGTGCAGCAGGACCCCGGCACTTCCCGGCCCTCTGTTACCTTCTCAGGCTCCACCTGCTCCAGGGTGTCGCAGTACACGTCCCCCTCGGAGTCACTGGTCACCTGGCTACCCTCAAGCGCCTCAGTGGCGGGAGCCAGCCCAGCTCCTGGAAAAGAAGCACACGGCTCAGCCGCGGCAGCACCGGCGTGGCAGAGGCGCTTCAGCCATGTCCGGAGGGCAGCAGGAGCTCAGCGCAGCTGCAAGGCAATAGGGCCACAAGCAGGCAAGGAGGCAGCGTCCACGTGCACAAGGTGAGGCGGGAGGAGAAGGAAACTGAGGCACAGAGGGGGAAGGAACCAGCTCTGTTGCTGCCACAGAAAAACCAGGACCAAGGCGTTAGCCATGACACACACAGGGAGGGCCAGGACTCCGCACCACAGCTCCCAGTGCCATGGAAGGGACAACCATGGCTTGAGTGGAGGGAGGACGTCCCCTCCTGGCACACAGACCTCGCAAGGTGATGCTTTCCCAGTCCACAGGGAAGCACCCTCACCTTCGTGCTGCGTTGCTGCCACAGAAAAACCAGGACCAAGGCGTTAGCCATGACACACACAGGGAGGGCCAGGACTCCGCACCACAGCTCCCAGTGCCATGGAAGGGACAACCATGGCTTGAGTGGAGGGAGGACGTCCCCTCCTGGCACACAGACCTCGCAAGGTGATGCTTTCCCAGTCCACAGGGAAGCACCCTCACCTTCGTGCTGCGGTTGAGCAGAATCAGGCCCCTTTGCACCGTAAGAGCAACACAAACCAACACGCCCAGGGCTACCCTGGCATCGAGAACAGTGCTGAGAGCTGCCCCCATGAAGAGCTCCAGCTTGCCGCAACGCGGGCACAGTCAGCCCAGCTGTGCCTGAAGCCAACAGCTCTGTGGGTGTGGGGAGGCCCAGTCCCATCGCTGGTGCCTCCTCTGTGGGGTCTCTGCCGGGCGCTGGCCACATCGGGGAGACCAACCTGGCACGGGCTGCCCGCTCTGCTGCTCCCCGGGCAGGGCATCTTCAGGGCCATCAGGGGCCGGGCTGCTGGCAGGGTGGTCCTGGCTGGGGTCAGCCGTCTGCTCCTGGCTGCCTGCACGGAGGGGAAGGGGCAGAGGAGAGTAAAAGCGTTGTGGGGAACCCTCATCGTACAGGCTGCTCAGCGCGGCTTCACTGCCAGCACGGCTGGGGGACAAGCGGATGCGGGGCCACCCTCCCGCCCAGCAGCCTCCGGACACGGGCAGGGGCTGGCAGAGATGGAGAGGGGACGGCTCTGTTTGCTGATGACCCAGGAATCAACACAAACTCAACCAGTCGGAAGGGTCTACCCAAAGCAGACGTCTCACTCACCTGGGGATGGCAGGGGAATCCCTGTCCCCCGACCCCCCAGCAGCTGGTTTAACACTGAGAGGTGACAGCCACCATCCCCACAGCACACCCGCCCTAG